GTCCATGCAAAAAACGACTGAACAATGACCGAGCGGCATGGCTGTTGCTCCTATTCTGAGCTGCCCCACATAAGCGCCCCTTGGCCGAGCAAATCCTGAGACATCAAAAGGACGCGGTAGCGGATGGTCCAGGGCCCAGAAGAAATGGGCTCAGGACTCAACACCGCACATTTACTTCAACATACTACGAATCTAACGTGAATTTCGAGCCCTTGCAAAAGAATCCAAAGGCGGGGAATACCGGTTGATTAGGCCTCTATCAACTTGTCACCCGAACCTTTATGCAGTCTTGAGGTGCCGGCGATGATGGAGTCAACCAGCGAGGCCAAGACAGCGAGGGAACCAGAGATCAGGAACGTGTACCTTTCTGTTTGGTCTTCACTGGTGTCCCAACTGCCGCACAAAGCTGTCTCAAAGTTTTGCCCAAACACCAGAGCACACAAAACACCCATAGAAACGGAACAGCATCCACTCTCTTTCCCAGGTTGATTTTAAATTGTGGTCGAGGGCGTGCCTGTAGGATTAACAAGCTCACATCTAAAACGTCCAAAGCGACAAAAGACTCAATCTTGAAGTTCAACACACGAAAATGCCTGCTTCTGTGAAGTCTTGTTTTGTTTTGCCATTGTTTTGTTGGAAATCTCGATGCGGAGAGCACGAAATGAGGGTCAAAGACGCAATGTGTCTCCACTCGGTAGGTCGATATGAGGCCCGAGAAACAACCCTTCCACCCCAAAAATGAGGCACTTTATCCGCGGCCCGAATAAAGCTTGAAGTAACAAATCTATTTCCACGGTGAGCAAATAAATAGGATGATGTATGATTATGATGATGTTCATCATCAAAGGGATTCATATGCTCTTGAGGGGGCACAGCTTGCAAACCATCAGCACAAAGTTGATCCAAACAGACGACCTCATCAAGCGAGATCCACCAAAGTTGGGATGGCACTGAGGTGCCGAGACCGCTCATGACACCAGAAAGTCCAAGGACTTCTCGAAATAAACCGGAAGGTTTCTTTGATCAATTTGCCCATCTCTCATCAGCTCGATTATGCTGTGCTTCCATCAGTTCTAGCTCAATCGTCTCAAATCACAACAAGCTCAGACTCTGCATGTCGTGGAGTCAGCAAACCTACGAAGCCATGAGAAACTTGAGTAATTACGTAGTACCGAAATAGGCTACATTGCTACATAAAAGCAAAGCACAAAGCATTATGATTATAGAATTGAAAGCCCAGTGTGAGCTCTACCTACGCAAACTAAAGCAGGAAGCAACCAATTCTGCCATTCCCGATTCGGACCCAGTTGTTCCCCCCGACATTGCTTGAACTGAACTGTTTGGCCCTGGCGACGGTGTAATGACAACAAGGCGAATGAGGAGCAAAGCTTGGAATCGTTCAAAATCAAGACCCGCAGCACACGCCAGTATCCACGCGAGCGCGCCACCCGAGCACGCAATGGCCGCAATGGCTGTACTCCCCAGCCTAATGACCAGCATCACCTCCGAGTCTCCAATCGAAGTGGAGCCTCATTTTGATTAGCAGAGGAGGAGTCATTGAGCCACTGCCAAACAAAAACAACGAGGAGCAGGAGCAGTTTGACGCGGAGTCATTTGTGGATCAGAATATTCTAGTGTCTGATACTACAATGTCTGAAATCAATGTTCTTTGATGCCTTTGTCCATATATATATATATACATGATATATATATATATATACCGTATTGCTGTAGCAAATAAACTTCTGGGCCCATGGAGCCTCTTCCTTTAGGCAGGTGTCACCCAGCACTACTGAGCCCCACACGTGCAATAAGTGCCTGTAGGCAGCTGTCCGAATCCTTGAGTCGTTCGGCCACAAAGGCAAGTACAACGAGCATCTTTCAGCTACCTGTCTTTGGCAAGCAAAAGTGATGTATGCAGACTATATAGGGCGCAGCGACTAGGGTGGGAGAAATCACCAATTTACCAGTACATACCATGTGGCTGGTCTGAACCTTGGCATCCGGGCTTGCTGACCTTGTTGAACTTCCACCTGGAAAGGTTTTCAGCACACGCGGCTCCATGAAAAACCGTTCATAGTCTTTGTCAGTACCAAGCTGCCGCTTGGAGCAAAGAGAACAATCTTGTTGAGTGCATGCTGCCTCAAAACATCTTATGCTAAGCCTGTTGCATGCCTAGAAATTGCTAGTAACAAGTGCATCGCTTCTAGTAACAAGTGCCTTACTAGTAGTAACAAGGACGCTACTAGGGGCTCCTGGCATCGCTACTAGGAACAAGGACGCTACTAGAAAGTTTTGCCTCAAAACATCTCAAAACAATGCCTACGCGGAACTTTGGAACCGAAAGAACCCGGTTTGCACTTAACCATATCAGGATTGCTCCCTCATGGAAACCCGTCCATCCGGCTGCCCGCTCTGCGCGCCTTCTTGGGTGGATGGTTGGGGCTGAAGACCTTGGTTCCGCCAAAACCGTGGAATCACTGGTGGTGATAACTAAGTGCTGTAAGCTTCACCTAGGGTTTCAAGCTCAACCCTATTCTCATGATTTCTGGTGAAGAAGTATTATATATGCCTGAGGGAAGAATGAGCTGAAGCTGCAAGAATGACAAGGATTATATAGTCGTAATCCCACTCATCGTCGTTGACTCACCTTGCCTCATCTCCTAGTTCGTTGTGGTGCTTTACTCGTGGTTGGGTTGTTACGAGGGGTTCTACATGGTTCTACCATAGCATTGTTGCTGCCGGTACCAGTTCACAGCCGAATCAGACCATTTATCAATCAGCATTGTGTGCGACTCCTTGCAAGACAACCCCATGGTGGACGCACTTTTGAATGGCTCTTGTAAGGCTGCTAGTGGCAAATGAAGGGGCATCAAACTCTAAAGGAGTGAAGCACGTGTAAGCCACAATAAGTGAGGAGTTTGCGGATAGACATCATTGAAGCCGCCCTTCCTAGCAGACTAGAAAGAGTTCATGTCGAGGGTCCAATAAGAAGCCTACACCTTGGTCTACCGCTTTGGCGGACTCTCGCGGGTGATTCAACTCACCAGATGGGGCCTTTACAGCTCCCAGAATATCTAAAAACAGTTGCTAGCCTTGAAGCGTCACAAATGCCGCGTGTGCCATCTAAAATCCAAAGATCGATTCTACTTGGTTCTGCAACCAGCAAAGGAGACTCTCGGAGAATGCATGCTGTTCATTGCTCTACGGGTGGTTGTCATCCCTCGATCCCTCGGTTCTGAAGCCGGGTGGGTGCCCATCAGTGCCCCAATGTTCCGGAAACCCTAATTACGACACAATCTCCTCCTTTCTCTGGAAACCCGGAAGTCGCTTCACTTTGAGTCACAGGGCTGTTGCACAAAGGGGTGTGCTGAGGTCATTCAGCCTGGATCGAGCTGTGCCTGTCCTAACAATGTATGAAGTCTTTGATGAAACACCAGGAGAGACCAACGTTTGGAGGCATTTAACCTTCTGTATCACAGACGTTGGAGCATGTCATGTGGCTTTCATCAAGCAATCAGTATTCACAATCAAGGGCGGTTGTTGGACCAGTGCTTAGCAAACGTTCGTACTACCACTCGTTGTTTCCTTAGTACGACAGGATGCTGATTCTGCTTCACCCCACACGTGATCATTGAGATTCCTGAGCCTTTCTCCCCAGCCCCAGTTGGGCGCGCGAGCACCTCGAATCTGTCTCCATGTTTTTTCAGGCTCGACTTCGAGCTTGGGGGCACTGATAGAGATTCATGCAATCGATGTAGATCGATGTTTACCTGCCCTTCTGTCGTCAGGGCCAGGGATGGCCTCAAACATCTGACTCTGCCTGGAAGAGTGAAAGACTGCGGGGTTGGATCAAAAGCTGGCTACAGTCAAAGCAAATGGCTTGTATCTTTCGACCTGTCAAGTGTCCTCAACATTTCGACTTCCAGTTCGTCGCGGCATACTCATGTTGAGCCACAAACTGCAGCTGTTTTATTGTAAACAGGGAAAGCCAAGCCCCATGAGCTACACTTCGGTTCACCTGTTCACCACTCCACACCACTCCTCCCTGACTCTCGTGGACGTCATACCGTCCAATGTTCCACAGAGAAACAGAACGAAACTGAGACATCAACTTTTCGAGCTGCTAGGAGCATCCTTACTACTAGGAACAAGCACGCTACTAGGGGCTCCTGGCCTTACTACTAGTAACAAGAAGCTACTAGGGGCTCCTGGCCTTACTACTAATACTAGTAACAAGAAGCTACTAGGGGCTCCTGGCCTTCCTACTAGGAGCAAGGACGCTACTAGGGGCAAAGGGCATCGCTACTAGGAGCAAGGATGCGGGGCCTTGGCTAACGCTGCTCCCAATTTCAAACATAGGAGAATCAACATGAATCAACAAGATTGAGCGACCCAAGAGTGCTGACATAACTCATGTGCCTTATCCATGTTGGTTGCTGGCATCGGGTAGCGTAGTCATGTCTCCGTCTCCTATGTCTCCTTCCCTCACTCAGTAAAAGCCCTTGCACACTCTGCAAGATCTTCGCTCCTGGTGTAGGCTCGAGAATCGAATAAGCTCAACGAATCGTGTGGTTCAAAGCTCGTCGTTGGAAGCTGTCTGGAATTTGACAGAAAAACGGGAACAAAAATGAAAAGACATGGAACAAACCAACAAGCCAAGCCAAGAGAATCCAAAGAAACGAGGTTTCCCTGGCAAGACTGACAAGTCCAACAGAGTGCCGAGGACTGGGATGAAGCTTTGGTGGGACCAAAGGGAGGCTCAGTGAATGCATTGTGAATGAAGGCTGAAGGGACCAAAGGGGAGCTTCCGGAGCACCTCCATAGTCTGCAGATCTTTTGTCAAATGCTGCAATTTTGCTTTCGTATACTCAAATGAATAATCCAGACGTTCTTGGAACTGTCGGTCAGCGATTTGCAAGAGCTATTGAGGAGGACCTAGGACGATCCATGAAAATCCGTTCGGCATTCCTTCGATTGCGAATTCTAAATTCGAAGACTCAATCCGAATCCTTCTGAGGGCCGAAATATTCTAGAATTCCTGGGCGGACACGCTGGACACCTGGAGTGGAAGCACGGTAAGCCAACCACTTCTCTTGCAGTTCATTCAGCAGCAGCCAGGTATTGTCCTCATCACGAAGTTGTCCTGGAAGGGATGCAACACAATTTTGGAGTGTGGTGGAGCTAGTTTCGGGCAAAAGCACTTTGTTGCCACCAGCTATTGGGTCGTTGATCATGAAGCTGCCGCTGCACAATGCTCGCCACTTAATACACATGATGAACTGGCTATGCGGTTATGCCGCACTCATCGATCCATCAAATCAGCGCATCCATTATGAACTGGACTCTTTCAGTCCTACCACCGCCAGCAGCTGCACCACCTCCATCTCCACAGCCACCGCCTTGAGGCTCTTCTCTCCGGCTTCGATGAGAGCATAAAACCTTCGAGCGTCCACTTCTTCCGACTGGATTCAAGTGGCTTTCTGCGTGTTCAACGTGTCTGCAGTCGATGTACAAGTCTCCATCTACTGCCCAATGCTGACGGTGGCTTGAAACTGTGATATTCCCCGAGGGCCGCGGAATTCACGCATGCACTTGGTTTAAACCATACTGCTTAGGCTGACCCCTCCACCTTTCCGTTACGAGCAGGGCCTTTTTAGGTTTTCAAGTTCCAGCGCTCTAGATGGGTAATGCAGTAACTAGCTAACTAGCTCACGGGAATGTCAAAACTGATACAGCTCTTGCGAGCAACGATCTAAGTGTGTGCCGCAACAGGGTCCCACAGAAGTCTGTTGTGTGATCCCCGCCGAGAGGCGCTTCTTGCACAGGCCCTTAAGGGTGAAAATTCACTGACCATTCGTTTATGCTCGAATCTCACTGGCTTAGCTGTTTGCTTGAGATCGCAGATACGATGCTTCAGAGCCCACTGAAACCATTTTCCTGAAAATGTCATGACATGCTACTCACATCAGACATGTTTGCCGTCTTGCTTGTCTTCTTTCGATTTCTCTTCGTGTTCTAGGTCTTTCTTCATTGCAAAAAGCTTTTTAGGTGTAACACAGGTTTTTTTAACAAGGGAGCGCCGGTTTCGGCTTCTTGGCCAGTGCCCTTGGGCCCGTGCCTTTCAATCAACCCCCCGCCCACACCCCTGCACCCTTACTTTCCTAGCCTTCTTCGTTTGTTTGTTCTTTCCTTCAAGCTTGTTAGGTCGACGTTTAGGCTCGTTTAGTCAATGCACACCCACCCCCCGCACCCCTGCCCCCTTTCCTTGCCTTCTTCGTTTGTTTGGTCGTTTCTTCGGGCTTGTTAGGTTGTCTTGTAGGCTCGTTTAGTCAATGCACACCCCGCACACACACCCCGCGGAGAAAAAGAGAGAGCGCCGATTCGGCTTTTTGTGTGTGTCACTTCCTGTCCCAAAGGAAAAGAGCACAGCAGGCTAATCCATCCTAACAGTCGATGTGCAGACACCAGGGGGGCAGTGAGTCTCATTCCATCTACTGCCCAATGAAGACGGTGGTTTGAGACTGTGATATTCCTGAGGGACGCCTCAGGAACGTACCTGCGGAATACACGCATGCACTTGGTTTAAACCATACTGTTTAGCCTGAACCCTCCACCTTTCCGTTACGAGCAGGGCCTTTTTAGGTTTTCAAGTTCCAGCGCTCTAGATGGGTAATGCAGTAACTAGCTCACGGGAATGTCAAAACTGATACAGCTCTTGCGAGCAACGATCTATATAAGTGTGTGTGTGGAGGTGGACTTCCCTGTTCGGGCCTGCTCAATCATGGCTCGGTGCGATTTGAACTGCTTTCATCATTGAAAGTTATTCCAAAATTCCAGGACCTAAGCTGAACATATATATCTCATCTGTGCTGTTGGATAAGGCAACCCAGCCGCTCCGACTCATTGCAGCTCCAAGTTCGAGCACGCTGCAGATAGGAGGCAACACTGCTGAAAGCGCCACACATCATACCTTCATTGCGTTTAACATCTTTGTCCCGAACTGAGAAGTCATTCAGAATAGCGGTCTTGCGCATAGAATATTTTAGTATATATATTATACATTGAATCGGGAAATCCAAGATGTGCATGTCAAAAGGGTGGGTCAAATATTGAAAAAATCATGCGCAAATTGCATACACGTACGCAAATGAAATATTGATATTACGCCGTTGAATCTAGTTGATGGCCATGGACCAGCGCTTTACCGATCACTATGAGTTTTGGCTTGAAAGAAGGTTGGAAATAAGGACGCTGAGAGACATCAGGGTTGTGAGGAAAGAAGGCTGCGTGTTGATCCACTGGCTTACCATGCAGCATTCTAACTGCGAAATGCTCTAACTACAAGTTTTTCACACCCACCTTAGCGCGATGTTGAACATTTTAAATGCATGTATTTAATTTTGGAGTACTCTAACTGCCGGCCCGCCATGAGAAAACCTTTCAAAACGATATACATTAATATCCGCCGACCCCTGCCTAGCTGACGCCTAGGCGGGGCGGCGCCTGGGACACCGCAGGTGAAACGGTGGCTCAACTTGCTTTCGGCCACAGCACCTGCCTGTGGCCACCTACCTGGGCTGCTGCTATGCGGTTCCGAACCTGCTGGAGCCCCGCATGGACATCCCGCTTCAGTCCAAGACACCCTTTCTATTCACCTGGGCTGCTGCACGCCTGCACCTGGGCCTAGTTGCGCTGCTGCTACGGGTTAAGCATTTTGGCTGGCAGCGGCTCGCCCCTTCTTGGTGTGGAATTAGATGGTGGAAAGCTGCGGCGACATAGATTGCCGGGAGCCTTGGGCACGTGCCAGGCGACAACTGCACCAGCTGCAGCCTTGCGAGTCAGCCTCTGGAAGGTGCCAGGCAACTGTTCTATGGGCTCCCGAAGGCGATGTGCCAGGCAACGTGCCAGGCAACGTTAGGCATTTTGGCTGGCTGCACCCCCCCCGCTCCTACCGCTGTTGTGGGCAGAAATAGATGCGCCTTCTGCGCATACGCACACCTGGGAGCCTTGGGAGGGAGCGCCTGGCACGCGCCTGCCCATACACACACCTCAGCCGGGAGCCTCGTTTCTACATTACGCTTTCACTGCAGGTCCTTCCCCAAAGATCGCTCATGGCGGCTCGCTTCTACGTTACTAGCGTTCTGGCTCCTCGTTTCTACATTACCCTTTCACTGCAGATCCTTCCCACAAAAAAGGGTCGGCGGCACTAGGGCGAAGCCCTTACAATCCGGGCGCCGGCCACGCGCACGTTCCCTTGCCGGAGGCCTTCGGTTGGTAACTGAAGGTTATATACGCTCGCCGCCCCTGCCGCCGACCCTTTTGTTGGACCGCGGGGATACCCCCGCCCGACCCCCGGTCGACCCCCGGTCGACCCCCGCCCAAATCCGGTCGACAGATTTATATGTATCTTGCGCAGGATGTTCCAAAAATGTTCAAAAACATCGTTTTTTACAGCGTTTCGTGGCCTTCGGCGGATACGACTTTCGCCTAACAGGGCGCCGGTGGTGTCGGTTATGCGTGCCGCGCGGACAGGCTTAATCGACATTTCGTGGGTGTTGGGGACATAAGTTGCCTAACATCTCCCCACCATAGGCCCAAGATAGCCAACGTATCCCCAACATATGCCCAACATAGCCTTCAAGATGGGTCAACATAGGGCCAACATAGGCCAACATGGGGACAACATACCTAGGCCAACATAGGCCCAACCCAGGCCAACATAGGCCAACATAGGCTAACATAGGCCGACCTAGGCCCAACATAGGCTCAACTTGGGCCCAAGATGTGCCCAACATAGACCACATGGGCTCAACTTGGCCCAACCTAGGGCCAAGATGCGCACCAGATAGCTTAACTTTGCTCAATATAGGCCCCACCAAGTCTCAAAGAGAGAGAGAGAGAGACAGAGAGAGAGAGAGAGAGAGAGGACCCAGCCCTGCACATACCCAAACCCAAATAGGCCGGCGCCCGGCTGTCAGGCGTAAGCCTCATAATCCGGGCGCCGGCCACGCGCCCGTGTCCTTGCCGGAGGCCTTCGGTTGGTAACCGAAGGTTATATACGCTCGCGCCCCCTGCCGCCGACCCTTTTGGTCGACCTCCGCCCGACCTTAGGTTAAATCCGGTCGACAGATTTATATGTAATTTACAGTGTTTCGTGTGTGTGAGGTGCACAAAACACTGTGTTTTACAGGGTTTTGAGCCCCTCGGCGGCCGAGAATTTCATCTTGGAGATGTTAAAGACGTAGGTTTTTCCCGTGTTTTTGCTTTGCGGGAAGGAAAAATCGTAAAAAGTTGCATCGGAAGATATTTTTCCACATAAATTGCCTAAAATCTCCCCAACATAGGCCCAAGATAGCCAACATATCCCCAACATGTGCCCAACATAGCCTCCAAGATGGATCAACATAGGGCCAGCACAGGCCAACATGGGGCCAACATACGCCAACATAGGCCCAACGTAGGCTCAACCTAGGCCAACATATGCCAACATAGGCCTAACATAGGCCTAACATAGGCCAACATAGGCCCAACATAGGCTCCACATGGGCCCAAGATGCGCCCAACATAGACCACATGGGCCCAACTTGGCTCAACCTAGGGCGAAGATGCGCACCAGATGGCGTCACTTTGCTCCTAGGCCCCACCAAGGCCAACATAGGCAAGAGAGAGAGACAGAGAGCAGAGACAGAGACAGAGACAGAGAGAGGCGAGGGAAACAGAGAGAGTGAGAGAGAGGGAGAGGGAACCCAACCCTGCGCGCACCCAACCCCAAATGGGCCGGCGCCCGGCTGTCAGGCGTAAGCCTCATAAATCCGGGCGCCGGCCAGGAAGTGCGTGGCATGCCCAGAGGGCCTTCGGTGGTAACCGAAGGTTATAGACGCTGGCCCTGGCTGCCGCCGACCCTCGGACCAAAACGGGCGGACCCCCTGGTCACTTCCTGTTCACTGAAGTCGCTGTAATTTACAGTGTATCGTGTGTGTGTGTGTGAGGTATAAAAAACACTGTGTTTTACAGGGTTTTGGGCCCCTCGGCGGCCGAGAATTTCATCTTGGCGATGTTAAAAAAACGTAGGTTTTTTCAGTGTTTTTTTGTTTGTGGGAAGGAAAAAATCGTAAAGAGATTTTCTCAACATAAATTGCCTAACATATCCCCAACATAGGCCCAAGATAGCCAACATATCCCCAACATATGCCCAACATAGCCTCCAAGATGGCTCAACATAGAGCCAACATAGGCCAACATGGGGCCAACATACGCCAACATAGGCCCAACCCAGGCCAAGGCCTAACATAGGCCAACATAGGCCCAACATAGGCTCAACATGGGCCCAAGATGTGCCCAACATACACCACATGGCCCCACTTGGCCCAACCTAGGGCCAAGATGCGCACCAGATAGCTTAACTTTGCTCAATATAGGCCCCACCAAGGCCAACATAGGCGTGACATACACCCCACACACCCAAGTGGGCCGGCGCCCGGCTGTTAGGCGTAAGCCTTGAAATCCGGGCGCCGGCCACGGGCCCGTGTCCTTGCTGGAGGCCTTCGGTTGGTAGCGGAAGGTTTATTTAAGGGCTTGCGCCCGACAGCCGGCCAGGGGCCCAAGCAAAGGGCTTGTTGCAGTCGTGGTAGTGTTCTTGTCATTGTAGTTGTCGTTGTTGCTCGTGTTGCTGTTGTGGTTGGTGTTGTTTCCGCGGTCGTGGGTCGTTTTCGGGGAGCGGTTTGGAGGTAGATCGGGACGGCTAGCGGAAGCGAACAGAAGCCATCGAGTCTGCATTTGTGACTAGAGATTCGTTTCTTGTACTTTCGTCTGTGTATAGCTTAGCTCCCTTGTACATTTGTCTATATAGTGTCGCGCTACCTGTTGACCCCCTGGCGCCCCACTTTTGTGGAAGGGCTTTAGAGGGGCGAACCGTGGACTGTTCGCGAGTGGGAGGCTGCGTCCACGCGGTCTTGGTTCGCGATGGGAACGGTACGGGCGTTCCAGTGCGAGTCGCGGTTGTCGCAGTTCTGGCTGGGGCTGCGGGTATATGGTCGCTGGGATTGGCAGCAAACGACGGGTAGCGTTTGTAGGTGGGGTCGTGGAAGTCGTGGAAAACGCTAGCCCGGCAGCAGTTATCGTTGTCGTTGTCGTTGCGAACAGGAAAAGGTGGCAGTTGGGTTGTCGCGCTTGCCTGGTTGTTGTGTCGTCGCTGTGGTTGTAGTGGTTGTGGTGGTGGTTGTGGTTGTGGTTGTGCTTGGGGCGATGTTGGCACCATCTTGGGCTATGTAGACCCATCTCGGGAGCGACGCGGGCGGGGAGTAGGGTCGCGGTGGATGTCGTGGCTGTAGGTGGTTGCGGTTGTGGTTGTGGTTGTGGTTGTGGTTGTGGTTGTGGTTGTGGTTG